GTGAACAGTCATGGAAGACTAGCTCAGATAATCTACAGATCACTTCAAGAACAAAGGCATGTTGCCTACATTAAATAAGTAAAGAAAATTCAAGTGCTGTCTGCATTAAGTTTCCATTAGGTAGAAAAAATGTCAGTGTACAGTTAGTTACTGGCAACATAGTCGAAAATAAGAAAAAGGGCTTGCAATAACCAGTTGTTTTTTACTGTATTTGTTTATGACTCCCAATCTCTCTGTCGTGGTTTAACCCCAGCTGGCCACTGAGCACCACGCAGCCGCTCGCTCACCCCCCTCGGGTGGGATGGGGGAGAGAGGTGGAAGGGGAAAAGTGAGAAAACTCATGGGTTGAGATAAAGACAGTTCAATAAGTAAAGCAAAAGCTGTGCGCGCAAGCAAAGCAAAACAAGGAATTCATTCCCTACTTCCCATCGGCAGGCAGGTGTTCAGCCATCCCCAGGAAAGCAGGGCTCCGTCACGCGTAACGGTTACTTGGGAAGACAAATGCCATCACTCCGAACGTCCCCCCCTCCTTCTTCTTCGCCCAGCCTTATATGCTGAGCATGACGTCATATGGTATGGAATAGCCCATTGGCCAGCCGGGCCAGCCATCCCAGCCACGCTCCCTCCCAGCCCCCCGCGCACCTGGCAGGGCACGGGAAGATGAAAAGTCCTTGACTAGAGTAAACATTACTTAGCAACAACTAAAACATCAGTGTGTTACCAACATTATTCTCATACTACATCCAAAACACAGCACTATACCAGTTAATAGGAAGAAAATCAACTCCATCCCAGCCGAAACCAGGAGACTCTCACACATATGTACACGTTGACAAATTTGTCACATGACATTCTCCCCCCTCCTCCTATCGGTTTAATGTGGAGGAAAATTACTATTGCACTATAAAGATGCACTTCTCTCCCCTCCCCCTCCCTAATCATCTGTAACTAGGAAGAATCAGGAAGCAACTAGTTCTCAAACAAAAAGATGCAATATAGTAACTAATCACTGGTCTTCCATTAGCAGGTAGGGACGCTCAGTTCTTGGATCAATTTGTAAACTGCTTAGTGACCAGGCAGGTGGCACCTGTACATGGAGAAGAGCCTTGCTGATGGACTGTGACGGATGCCAGTGGGAACAAGGGGCCTTGTGGCTTATGTGAGGCACTTAGTGTACAGATGTGTGCATTCACTTAATTTGCTTTATTGTGGACACGCTGCCTGAGAGCAAAGGGGTGCAGCAAGCACACTCCTCTAAAGAGACTGGAATCCGTGTCTTCCTCCCATGGGACTGCAGAATACCACCACGCTCGCAGGTACACCAGGGTGGAGCGCTCCCAATCCACCTCACAACTGCTGCACAGGTCTTTCTATCCGTGGCTGGTGGAGCGGCGGATGCAGTCAGGACCTGCAGTATGCTCACAGAACTGCTCCTCCGACACGTGTTGAGCGTGGTGCTCCAGCTGAAAGCACCACGTGGAGCTGGGCAGGGCAGCCAAGAGACAACAGCAGCTGCCTGAGAGCGGCTGCTCTCTCCTGCACGCTATGATTTGGCAGCTCCTTATGCCAGCTCAGCAGCCGCTCCAGAACCCGAGCTCCAAGTGAGGACACTAAGCAGAAAAGCGTATGCAGCAAGGAGGCCTGGGGGGAGAAACAGATGTGGGGACAGGGGGAGGTTTTATTCCGGGAGGTAAAAGAAATATGAAAAGCTTGCCTGGGAGGGAGTGGCCAGCGGGCAGATGCTGGCTGTTCAAAGGCATTTGATGCATTCTCTCATCCCTCTCCCTCCCTCCCTCCCTGACTTGAGCATTTTGACCTCAAGCTGAGCCTCTGATCACCTCTGTGCAAGTAAAAATAACCATGCTTCCTCTAGACTTCCGCAGTGTGTGCGTGTGTCGAGTACTAAAAGAAAAACTGCCATATTCAAATAGCCTACAATGAAAGGAAGCCAGAGCGAAAAAAAGCTCTTAAGGAAGGACATTCTCTTCTGGGTTTAGAGGCACAATACATACTGGCAGTATTATGACTCTCATTTCAGTGTCTTCCTGCAGGACGGCAAGCGTGAAAATCTTTTGATACAAACTGAACTGCCTGGAGGACACTCATTGCCCCATTTCAGTTGATATTAATGAAAATTAAATACCCAGATTGCAAACTTCTTCCTTACAGTTTCAAAATGTATAATTGAGCCTGCTAACAGTGTTACTATTTACCACAAAAATAGTAAATAGGTATAAATAGGATTTTTCTATTAACAAGACACATTTTCTAAAAATCTAACAGCAATCTTCTCTTCCCAAAAAGCCAAACAAATAGCTTGAGGCCTTCCCTCCCACTGCAAAATCCAAGTATCCTCTTCCTTACAATATCTGCTCTTTGTTACAATTAAACAATGAGTTCAAAGGCAGTAGGGACAGGAATTTTATTTCCAAACTTCTAAAAGATTAATACAAACAATAGAAAGTAGACAAAATTTAAAACCTATTTAAAAAGTTAATTGTCCTTGTAAAAGTGCTCTATAAAAAAATGAAGGCAAATGACAAAGCACATTTGAGTAAGTTTTGTGTATTGCAAACCTTGACAATTACACATGCAACTATCTTTGGGTGTTCACGGGTTTTTAGTGTCTGTTTGGTCACATTTTAAACATGCCAAGGAAATTCCACCACGGCAGTACCTTTACAAACACAAATTAGGAGAAGTATTGCAGATTGGAAGTCTTGTAAGAAACACGCCTTAGGAATCAAGCCTGTGCTGCACATTGTGTCCAGCAGTTTCTAGCATGTGTCATTGATGGACTTAGATGGACTTGAAAAAAACTGTAGTTGGTTCCAGGTCTTGCTAATGGAAGCAAAATTCCCCTGGAGAACATTACTTCAGTACTAACAGCAGTTAGTTTTATACTTTAATGATTCACTTTTTCGATGTTTTATTTTGGAAAAAAACAAATATTTTTTACTATCATTCTGGTGTAACAGTTTAGCAAGATAGGAGTAAGTAATTTGGTAAAAATTCACATGTTTTTTTTTCTAAAATGTAAACTTCTCAGGTAACATTTTTATAATTAGCATAGTGAAGTAACAACGGTAACGATTATGAAAGGAATAAGAATTACATTAAAAAACTTTAAGAACATTAGCAAAAGATAATGAAGTAGGGATACACAAGAACAAACAGATAAATATCTAGGACATTGTTTTAGCCACACGAAAGTTAGGACACAGAGAGAGACTTTTCTTGTGAAGGAAGGCAGTTGTTACTCATGTCATGCTTGAAGGCAATTCTCTGATGACCTTCCCTGTAAAAGGAAAAAAAGGTTTATTAAATGCTGTCTTCCTAAGCTGACAAATTTCTCTTACAAATTATAACACAAAAGCTCCTTTGCACTGAGAAAAATGGAATAACTGCTTTCCTTTGTTGGATGTTGCCATCCTTGAATATTATAAATTTTTTTAATTGGCTTTTCAACTTTGCTCTCATTTTTTATGATCCTAAGATAACTAAATAATAATAAACTGGATAATTGATCTATCAGCAAAAAGATGACTAAATGACATCTGAGCTGAGCTATGCATTTCTAAAAGTATCATAACTTAACGAAACTCTTCTTGGTTTGAGAAAATATTTTGTATCCTGTCTGGATGATGCAATCAAACTTGAATCCTAGAAATACAAACATACATACACAGAGACACAAAAAAGACAAAGTAGAAAGGCTGCTTCAGTAACAGAAGAACACATGAACAGTCACTATCAATTTTCTCTTATTTGCAGGAAGAATTAAGGGTAGCACCTAAATTAAGAAAATCTTCTGCTTGTGCTTTCTGCCCCTCCAAGTTTTTTCCAGGAGAGCATCTCATGCTCAGTTGTTCTCTCTCTTCAGGTTCGATCCTGTTTTGTCAAACCTACGTAGCAACAATCAAAACCGTGCCATTGATGAGGCACAAGCACAGCTGCAAGCTCAGGAACCCTGGCAGCGGGAAGGGGAAGATTTTACAAGTACTTTGTGTTCTAGTCTAAATTCTGCCCTTAAAGAAAACATTCATTTTCAGTGGTTCTTCCTCTCTCTGTAGTTTTTTCAGCTCTTTAGCAGGAACTATTTTTATTTTTCCTTTTAAAGAAGGGTAACCCCTTCTGAATATCCTACTTCCACGTTTGTTTGTCGTGCAGAAGAAATAAGATTTTCCAACAAAAGTTATGGTGTGATCCTGCCCAAGACTACCAGCGCACACGGCCTTTCTTCCACCGCTGCAATCGCTGACATCTGCGTGACAGATGGGAGAGACAGGAGTGGGAGTCACGGAACTGGATCCCAAAGATTTGCAAACGCTGGACGGTCACCCACCCACCCCGCAGGTGTTACGCAGGTACAGGCAATGCAGAGCACTAAGGCAGACAGCGTTTAGGGAGTATCTCATCCTTTAGACCTGTGCTGAAAAAGGTTACGAAGGATGTGGTCGCAGGTTGCCTCAGCTCCTCTCTGCTTCCACTGCTTTTGGGGCTGTACCAACAGTAACAACAGAAAGAGCCTGAGGATGGACCCAGCCAAATGAACTGCAATATGACGCTGAAGACAAAATGTATTTTAACAAGGTTCTTGCTTAAGCTGTGAGCTAGTCATCATCAGAACACATGCCACTGCCACGGCTTTGTCCTACTTCTTCAAGCTGGGCATGTGACTGGTTTTTATGTCTGGCTGTGTCAAACATAGCCCTGTGTCACACTTTTTATTATTTTGGATGCTGCTAATGACCCTAGAGCTGCTCAAACACAAAAACCGACCAACCAACCAAAAAAACAACTCATAAACAAAACACCTCTAGAAGAACTGTAGGAAAGAAACATGCTTCAGTTGCCACACCTAAAAGAATTTGTAGAGCCAGCAGGGAAGTGATGAACACTTTGCTACCAAGAACTCAACATTCAAAGAATTATCACCATGTGCCTTCGTCTCTCCTAGGGCTTGAGTTTCCAATCAGAGTTATTGTTATTACCTGATTTCAGAGTAGAGCACAGGATCGGGGTTCTCGAAAGGGATTGCTCCCTGCAGGAACCCCAACAAGCAAGGCATCTTTGCAGGCATTTTGCATACAATACTGCTGAAGTTCTGCAGCTGCCTGAGAGACCTGTATAAAGGGAAAAGAAAAACAAATCCAGAGAGGAAACTAATTCATTCACAAGCATCTATTAGGCATTTCCTCTTGAAGAACCATCATCAAACAGAGCTGGAGAGCCGCCAAGTCAGCTCTTGGGTTCTAAAACACCACGTAAATCAGCACAAATGCACATTTACAAAGCTCCGATGAAACATGCATGAAATACTATGCCAGTGATGAGCCAGAGGAGTACAGAGGACTAAGATACAATGGAATTTGTCCTCATTAAAATGCGCAGGGCTGTGACCACAATATTCTCCAATCTACTGTACCGTTTTCAGGATTATATTTGAACTCTTACATCCTCAGGTAATTTACAAAAAGCATTTTCATTTCCAAACTGTTGAGCAACACAGAGCCTAACAAGGAACAAAAGCAAAAAGATGAGGATGAAAAGCTTTTTAAGTCGAAATTGCCACCTTCCCCCTAGCCAGTGAAGTTAGAACTTCAAATCCACGCTCTGGCCCCCAAAGAGAACAGTCCAGAGCTGCAGAACAAGCCTAAGAACCCAAAGGCAAGATACCTCCAGCACTGAACTCCCTTGCTCTCCCTGTGGACGGCAATTCAGTCATGTACCTGCATTTTTGAAGGAAAACATAGGAGAATTCCCGATTTCTCAGACACACATTGGTAACAGCTGCACGGAACTGTCAAAATCCATGCTGTCTGCTACCTTTTTTATTAAAGGAAATACTGAGCATATTGTTGGGAACACAAACTCCCTTCTGACTTCACCTCTGCCTTCATTATAGGACTCTTGAAATACTGATTTTTCTTCCTACACAACTTTGCAGTGTTCCCAGCAGAGGGACGAGACAATAGCCAGAAGGGCCACCCATGCTTCCCAGCCTACTGATTGAAGGGGCCACCCAAGAACCCTGATGGGATTTTGGTTCTGGGCCATCCCATCTAAGAGCATCTGGAAGCATGTGGGAAATCTGGCATAGCAAATGCTTTCCTTTGCTGTTTCGCTGCTGTCCTGTTCACCACCTCCCAACTCTCCTCCAGGACACTCACCCTGGTAATTGCCCGAATTTACCTGGCAGCGGTCAGCATTTCAGGGAGCTGTTAAGAGAAGCATTGTCCCACAGCCTCCCAGGTTCTCTTGAGCAGAATACAGGGAGAAGCATCCACAACAAAGATCCCTGCTAGTCAGTGGGCTTTGTCACTCCTCCCTTTCTTGAGGAGAACCTCCTTCTGGAGGCTGCAAAGGTCTCCCACCCTGCCCAGCCCCTTGGGCCCCCCACAGCATTAGCACCCTTGCCTCAACCACGGTGCCGACCCCCTGCTGGTACCCAACTATGCACCACACCGGCTATCAGGCAGAGGTGCTACCTGCAACACTGATCCGGCCAAGGCTGCGTGGAGCTTTTTTTCCTGGGAAAACGAGCGGAGAGCCATTCAGGGCACGGCTTGCCCTATGAGCACAGCAAAGTTAGCAGTGCCTCACTGTGTCTCCTTACACTTTGCTGCTGAACTCTGCAACGCGTACTGAGCTATGTATATTCTGGTGCTTCTGGAAAGATACAAACCTGATTTTTGGCATCTGTGTGAGAGTTATCCATACAGCAGCAGACTGTTGTTCTACGACAGATCTGCCTATTCTTAGCCCTAACTATGCCCCTATAACATTCTTCGCTCCCCTAGTTCACACAGAAAGTACAAGGGTTTCTGTTGTATTTCATCACAGGACAAACACGCTCCTGCGTGCAAGATACATGTGGGTACTTCTTTCCTACTTGGTTTCCTCTTTCTGAAAATACCGTTCCTGTCTGCTTCTTTAGCTGGCAGGGTAAACAAAATCACCATTGGAACTTTGTAGCATGGGATGTATTTTTAAAAATCCTTTCCTATCCAGCTTCCGTCTGAAAACACATTGTCTATTCAAAGTAGCCAAAACAACATTTGCTCCTACCTCAGTGTCTGCTAAAACTGATCCAAGTGGTTTTTCACCAGCTGAATGTATTCCTCACTGTTTTTCCACTGCATGTCAAGAAACCCTAGATGACGCTTTTTATAAGAGACATTTTTAATCATGCATCGTTTCACTTGTGATTATAAAAAGGCAGGAACAGGTTCCTAGAACAGCAGACCTGGAAAGAGACTGCTGTGCACAATGCTGCAAGAAAGATGAGTCTGAGGTCTTACCAAGGCCAAGCCTCCCTGGAGCACAAGCAAACCCATAATAAATATGTAGCCTTGAGCAGTCCCACTCCAGAATATGTTACCGCCACAAAGTAACCCCCAATAAACTATAAAAAAAAAAGCGGGGAGGGGGGATATGCCTCAAAATGAGCAGGAACAGAGATCCAGGCTATTGCTGGTGGTATAAAGCAACAGAAATGTTTGGTCTATCATTTCTGTGTTAGACAATATCCCTCTTGCCACAAGGGCCTACATTTCTATTCTGCATCGTCCGGTTTCTCACAGATTCCCACACATCGTCGCAGTGATAAACTACAGTCACTTTAGTGAATCAAACATCTGCAGACTCAGTATTCACTAACAAAACCTAGTAACATTAATGAATTGATCAGGATGATGTCCAAAAGCCATAGTGGTTTCACCTTGCCATGGGCACTTCAAATTTTCACCAGCCCAGGACAGGAATAGTGAGAAAAGGTATTCTAAATTATTTTTAAATCAATTCGCTAACTCAATATACTGGCACTGTCATCAGACTAAGGAAGCTGGTGTTTTGTGACTGGCCAGAGAAAAATGGCAAATGTATGGAGGTGACGAGAGAAGAGGAAAGCGCAGGACACGAATTAATTTGACCTTCATCACTTCACAGCCTACGCTGGATTTTGCGCGTGGCTGGAAAGAGTCATTTTTCCAAAGCAGTTGCCCCCCCCCC